CCCCCCCCGAATCAAGGCTGCTTACTTAAAAAATATTTTTTAAAAACATTTACGGACGAATTTTCTAAATCTCTAAAAAAAAAACAAACAAAAAACTAAGGACCAACAACCCATGTTTTTTTCTCTTCCAGACACAATTTCAAAATGAACTCACGAAGCTAAGCAAGCAACAACAACAACAAAAAAAAGAGAGTAAAATATCATTGCAAAACTTCTTTCATTCTTTGTCTGTATGATCCTTTCACTCTGTGTCTCGTGACCAAGAGTCCATATTATAATGCTACTGGCTCGGGGCAGCACAGCCCCGTAGAGCACGGGAAGGGGTGCATAATCTTTCCCGTCTCTCTCCTCAGTGCCCTCATTTAGCCTTTCTCCTAGAAAATGTGTTGCTGTTTTGTTTTGCTTTTTTTGTTTTCTTGTGCATTTGGTGCGTACGACGGGGTGGGAAAGCAGCGAATGAGAGCGCATCACGGTGCGCATCCGGGGGCGGACAACATCCAGTCGGGAAATTCTATTGCAAGATTTGTTTGTATCGTTTTCTCATCAGTGATCCCGATCACGCAAGATTTGAACCTGTGAGTTCTCCCGTTTCGGTTGACTTCCAAAGATGTTTGTACAGCATTTCATTTTTTTACGGACATCCTAAGCTCCGTGCGGACATCCTAAGCTCCGTGCGGACATCCTAAGCTCTGTGTGGACATCTTAAGCTCTGTGTGGACATCTTAAGCTCCGTGCGGACATCCTAAGCTCCGTGCGGACATCATAAGCTCCGTGCGCACATCCTAAGCTCCGTGCGGACATAGGGGATGAGTCCGTTTTTAGGTCAATTTTTTTACGGAGTGTTAGGAAATTTACGGTTGGTTGGCAGCCCTGCCCCCACTGCAATAAAGCCCTGCGGGCGCCCATCTGTAGTAGACCCCCCTCCCCCCCCCCGACCAAGAACATATTCTGAAAAAACTCAAGACTATAAACATGTATATATATAATAAAGAAGAACATTTCTCAAGATGCTGTTGATTGTTATGTTATACCACTGCTGATACTACTGTTGATATTACTCTTGATTCTACTGTTGATACTACTCTTGATACACCAGTTGATACTACTGTTGATATCACTCTTGATACTACTTTTGATACTACTGTTAATACTACTCTTAATACTCCAGTTGATACTACTGTGGATGCTACTGTTTAAACTAATTTTGATACTACTCTTGATATTGCTCTTTATACAACTCTTGATACAATTCTAGATACTACTCTTGATACTACTCTTGATATTACGCTTGATACTACTCTTGATACTTCTCTTGATATTACTCTTGATACAACTCTTTATATTACACGTGATACTACTCTTGCTACTACTCTTGATGCTACTGTTGATGCTAATGTTGATACTACTGTTGATACCACTGTTGATACTCCAGTACATTCCACAGCTTGTAGCCTCTATTAATTCTCGCTAGTGCCGTGATTAGTTATCCCCCAAGGACACACCAGGCTTGCTCCCCCCCCCCGCCCTTAGGTCACGCACGCGCGGTGAAATGAGTTTTGAGCTATTTTTGGATGCCACGCATAAC